AGGGCTTTGAAATTTAGACTTTTGATTGAGGATTTGAAGGACCATTTGAGGTTGGATTTCAGAACTTTTGATATGTATGAACTCGTGGGGAGATAAGGAATCCATTGATATAAAAATTATCGAATTTCGAGACGTGGGCCCGGGGTCGGGTTTTGGTAATTTCGGGATTTATGTTGTAAATTGATTATTTTCGCTTGGGCTTCGTTCCTTTAGCATATTTTGACATTCTTGTTCTGATTTTGGATAGATTCGACGCGAGTGGAGGCTGATTCAAGGGGCAAAGGCGTCGCGAGCTAGAGATTTGACCAGTTCGAGATGAGTAATGATTGTAAATGATGTTCTGAGGGTTCGAAACCCTGGATTGCACATCATAGCGCTATATTGAGGTGAGGCATACGTTTGATGATGAGCGTGGGGTCGTGCACTATTGGGAATTGTGACTTGGTCCGTCTGGATTGATGATTTTACCGCATATTTGACTGAAATCTATTTGCTATCATCATCATTTGGGCTGAATACCATATTTGAGCTTCGTGCCAACTATTTAAACCCTTCGGGGATTTTTACTAGTATTTTCTTACTGTTTTGACTTTATACTTGAACTCAGTCATGTTATATTTTACTGTTTTTCGTACTCAGCCATGTTTACTTTGTTTTAACACTTACATGAACTTTTAAATGAAATTTGGGCTGAGAAACATGTTTTACTACTGCCCGAGTGGCTTGTGAGGATTTTGACTGAGTAAGATCGAGGGCCTATGTTGTGAGGAAACATTTGATACTGATTATGAGGCCGAGGGCCTGAGATATGTACTCCATGAGGTGGCTTGATTGATATGAGGTCGAGGGCCTAGTGATGATGCCACGAGGTGGCTTAATATTGCGCTTGGGTCGTAAGGGGCCCCTCCAGGAGTCTGTACACCCCTAGTGAGCGCGGGTACCCATTGTGATGTGAGATTGAGTCCGAGGGGCTGGTATTATTCTATGTGATTGCCCGAGGGGCTGATACTGTTCTATGTGATAGCCCGAGGGGCTGGTACTGTTCTGAGATATTGCCCAATGGGAGGATTTGTTGATACTGTGCCCGAGGAGCGAACCTTTACGTGTTTATTTTCATAACTTACTGTCAGTTCCCTGCTTAATTGTTGAAAAAGGCTTTTCATGAAGTTAAATTGAGATAACGGATGTAACCTATCTTTCATTGGTTTTACTGTTTTAATGGTTTTACTGCTTCATTATAGCATGCTTTACGCCTTACGTGATTTCTTGCTTTCAGTCTTTATTTATGATTATTACTCACTGAGTTGGAGTACTCATCTTTACTCCCTGCGCCATGTGTGCAGATTCAGGCGTATCTGGTCCTGCTCCCGAGTGCTGATCATTTTCGGTTCAGGCGGATCCGAGGAGTCTCTTGGTAGCTATTGGCGTTCGCAGCCCGGAGATCTTCCCTATCTTATTCCTTCTTGTTCTTAGTTTCTGTATTAAACTCTGTAGTTATATATATTTGGAGTATTCCGTTTTGTTAGATGCTGATGACTAGTGACACCTCGGTATCGGGCTGTGTTGGGTTATTATTCCGCGAATTATGCTATTATCTGTTAATTTTGGATTATCTTATCATGCTTTAGATTTATTTCTTATGGTTTAACTGTTAATAATTGGATATGGGAAGTGTTGGCTGACCTTGTCTTCACGAGAGGCGTCATCACGATCGGGTTCGAGTTTAGGGTCGTGACAATTTTCAAAAAGAATAAAATACACCTCTTAAGAGTGACGTTGGATAGCATTAATTATAAAAGTATTTTGTTTAACTTAGCCTTTATCTCTTTTTTAACTGTCTCGCTTAATTAACCTTACACTAACTGACGGTAATAGCATACTTGAATTTTTTAATTGATGTTTTGAAATAAATTCAATTTGTCAAAGCTACTAATATTTGGATTAACGGAAGTAAATTTGTCAGCTTCACTCTAAACGTGGCTAAATCAGTTAATTATTTAATTATCCACTCTAATTATGTTATTCTTCTCCTTTGCGTCTCCCTTAAATAAACCACCAGATCTTACCCACTCTTACTTGTAATTAAGATTGACTCATTGGCACGTCTCATTGCTCAGGTGCGTAAGCAAAACTTGTTGTAAGTGGTATCGATATTTATAGGAGAGCGAAGAATAAATAACATTAATTATTACATTACTCGAAAAAAATAGCCTTTGGGATTACCCGGTAGGTCATTTATAGTTTCAGCCTTCATTTCTGTGCTCCGAGACCTCAATTAGCTCCGTTTTGCATGTCTCAATTTTCGTGCACAGTCCGTATCATATTCCGAAATTTTTATGTGAAAACCCTAAGAAAATATGAATTTTATCTTTAAAATGACTTGAGTTGACTATGGTCAATATTTTGTGTAAACAGACTCGGATAAGTATTTTGACTGTACCGGTGGGTCCGTATCGTGATTTGAGACTTGGGCGTATGCCCGAAATTGAATTCGGAAGTCCTTAACTTGTTTTGACTCATTTTACCGAAAGCTAACATTTTTGAAAGTTAAAAATGCCAAGGTTTGACCGAAAGTTGACTTCTTAGCTAACGATTTCAAATTTTGATGTTAAAACTTGGAATAATCCGTATTGTTATGTGAAACTTGTCTGCCAAATTTGGTCCAATTCGAAATTTATTTGACATGATTCAGACACCTAAACGTAATTCTAGTGTTCTGGAGTTTCACTTTGAAAGTTCATTCATTTTGAGGATTGATTCGTAGATTTAGATGTTATTTTGGTGATTTAATCGCACGAGCAAATTCGTATGATGTTATTATACTTGTGTGCACTAAACTCTGATTTTATCATTATTAAAATCATCAGAACATAAACCTAACTGATGCATGTGAAGATTTACGGTATAACATTTATACTTTCTCGAATTATATTACTATAATTTTAGTTTTCTGAGTTCTTTCAAGTTATTATCATTAAATTTATTATATGTTTAGAATTAAATTTTCATATCCAATATTTGTGAATTCTTAGTAAGTTTTTACACGTGTCTGTATTCTATTTAGAAAATACTAAGCTTAAATGAAATCGTTACCTAAGAGCTGCATCGGACATTAATTAGTTGGTAGAGACACCAACCATCCATGCATGTGAAAAAAATTGAGAAAAAGATGAGACTGTATGATAGCATCTGGAATGAAGTCAACCATAACTAGCTTCAACTGCTACTTACATGAGTGTGGAAATTATGGAAATGATGAAAAAGGAATAATCAACTTTGCTTTCAGAAAAATATGAAAAGTTCAAAGACATTTTTGGGCCAACATGGCATTGCCAACTTCATATTAGGAAGAAGAATTAATATAAATAGCCAACGGATGTAAAATTGTTATATATATATATATATATATATATATATATATATATAATATGTGTATATTTATGTATATATATAATATGTGTATATTTATGTATAATCAATATATAATTTATATATACCGGATAGTAAAAGTAAACAATAAATGCGGTCAACTATTTGTGTAAAGATCTCTATTAGAAATACAAGCCCTACTAGCTAGCTAGGAGCAGAAAATGGCAGAAATAAGACACCATAAGAGGTGATCTTGAACTTTTGGTCTTTGGGGCAAGTCAAGTGACGAATGTGCAAACCTTCAAGGTCAAAAAGTTTTGCCATTAGTTACGTAATATGCCCCAAAGATCAAAAGCTCAAGAAATGCACAGTTAGCCACTAATAAGACATATATTTACTTTTAAGCCATTGTTTAAAATATTTTTAGTCTTTAGCCATTGCTTTAAATAAACTTTACCCGTCCGGACGAAATACTCTTCTGCTCATAAAATCCAGGACCAAGTGTCCTTAACTTATGAGCTTGTTACTGTAAGTTCAGGACTAGCCGTCCTTAATTTATGAGCTTGTAAGTCTAAGTTTATGAATACTTGTCCTTAACTTTTGAACTTGTAACTCTAAATTCAGGACTACATGTCCTTAACTTTTGAACTTGGAACTCAAAGTTTAGGACTACCTGTCCTTAATTTTTGTGCTTATAACTCTAAGTTAAGGACCAAGTGTCCTTAATTTTTGAACTTTCAACTCTAAGTTCAGGACCAAGTGTTCTTAACTTATAAGCTTGTTATTGTAAGTTCAGGACTAGCTGCCCTTAATTTATGAGCTTGTAAATCTAAGTTAAGGACTAACTGTCCTTAGTTTTTGAGCTTGTAACTCTAAGTTCAGGACTACATGTCCTTTATTTTTGTGCTTGTAACTCTAAGTTAAGGACTACATATCCTTAATTTCTGTGTTTGTAACTATAAGTTAAGGACCAAATCTTTTCAACAACACATGCATCAACAAGAATCAGAAACCCAACTCAGCATTGAATCCATACATAAAATTGAAGGCAAAAACCGAATAAAGGTGGCAATAACACGAAACAAGACAAAGCTGACCCTCGTTAGAAAAACAAGAAGATATCATTTTTCATCTTCACAACTGTTCAAAGCCATCAAATTCACAAGAATCAAAAAAACCCAATTCAGCATTTTTATCACAAACAACATATGCATCCACAAAAACATGTCTCTGCATCAAACTTGAGAAAGAAGCGAGGGTTTGGGAAGAAAAGCAATGGAAGAAACACTACAAAAAAATGCTTATTTTGTGAGGGTTATTTTAACAATTTGTGACGGTTTTCAACCTCCACAAAATGTATTGCGGAGGTTTTAAAAAATGCCACAGTTATGAGTGCCACAAGCAATATTGAGGCAGTTTTTTAAAACCCCCATGACGACCCCCACAAATTGAATTTTTAATTTGTAGGGGTTTTCAGAGACAATTAATGGCGATTTATAACCTCCACAAAATAATACCAATGTTTAAAAAATAATTACTTGTGGGGGTTTATAATCCCCTTACTATGATCTCACTGTTTAAAACAAATAATGAATTGTGGAATTAAATAAATAATTTTATTGAATAACTTATAACATAAATCAAACTTCATTACAAACCATAATGACAATTAACAAACATCAATTGTTCAAATCCCCATCATCGTTACAAATAACCATAATAACAATTAACAAACATCAGTTGTTCAAATCCCTATCAAACTAAACTAATACTAACTCATGCAAGGTAACTCAAATATGTATTATTCGGAATGGAAACTTATAGTATTATGTATTTGCTTGGCGATTTATATTGTTGTCACCCAATGATACTCTTGATGTCACTCGATGATCCTCTTACTTCACAAGTAAAGTAGACTCACTGTCAAGCTGAAATAATGAAATAAAAATATTTGATGAGAAACTTGTAGTCCAGTAGCATTTCTCTGATGATATGTCAATCATAGTAGGTGAACATATCCAAAATGCTCAAATTTAGTCACAGAGAAAGGGAAAGTACGGGTTACATAAAAAAGAAACAAAATAAAAATCTTCTTGTGAATAAAGTTGTCACTTGATTTAAAAGGGGCATTATGCTGAAGTTGTTAGAAATTCACACAGTAAGAGCTTAATTACATATTTATTGCCTCGTATATCATAACAAAACTCAGTTGCACAGACACCATTGCCTTTCTAGATTTGAAAAATATTAGTGCCAAAATATAGTTAAACTCAATTGGCTAACATTAGAATTAGAATCAAACAAATAAAGTATTATAAGTTGGTAATCCAGCACAATGACTAACAAAGTATAACTTGCATTAAAATCAAACCAATGCCAAAACCATTTAATGTTAACATCAAACAAAGTGAAGTCAATTTTAACAATGTTCACGACAGCAAAATATGGTTAAACTAATTAAGTAATTTGTACCTATCCATCAATTAACTAATGTTGTAAATGAAGATAACATAGTCAACTTTCACAATAAGAATGTCAGGGACCTCTGTTTCTTCTGGATAATACCATATATTTCTGTAACCAGTACTCCTAGGGACCTTGCCAGGAAATTCAATCAACTAATCAAAATTTCAGTATCTGTGGTACTTTAATTCATTGCTTGCTGAACTTTTTCCTATATACATACACAATCAAGGAAATCTTACTCATCATGAGTCAATAGTCACATAACCTACAGATACTATGTAGAGCTTAAAATGGTAATGGAACTGTTTCATATGCAGATCAATTTAAGGAATTTTAATGTACAAGAACATGTAATTTATCTTTCCGCATAGTGAATATATAAGGAAGGATTTGTATGTACAGATGTAACATTGCCACTTATTTCAAGCACGAGCAAGTTGGATACTAACAATACTATTTACTACTGCTCCTAGGTATAAGCTTGCCTAGACATATGATCAAACAGTTGGTCTGCATTCCTATTCCAGGATCATCATTACCGAGGAAAACATCGCTTGGTTTCCAAATCATTAAAAAACTCACGTCATTTTGGCCAAGCACCTCTATATGTATCCTCAAATCAGAATAATACTTGAATGACACTTGAATTTTCATGAATATATCCACTATGCGGTATGACTTGCGGTAATTACGAACTAACACTCCGTAAATTCTACCGATATATTCATGAAAATTACTAGCTATCAACATATAAGTTACCTCTATAGGATTCTAACATTACGACAGGCAAATCAAGTATAATGAGTTGTACTCGAAACAAGAGAGTACATAAGTCAAACTTGCATCAAAACTAAACGCTAACAACAATGAAAAATTGAAATAGAAGGAATAAACTGATAAAATAGTAGTAAACTAATTAGTTAAACATGTCAAACCAGTGTCGAAATCGTTTGGACTAAATTCAAACAAAAAAAAGGTGCCAAAACTTGAACTGAAAAAATAGAATTTATATACTACTAGCTTACAAAACATCTCATTTCTTGAGGACATAATCAAATCTTTGAAGGCATGGATTCCCCTAGTATATGTATCAGTAGCAACTGCGAAAGATTATGGAACAAATTACTCTATATTACTTAACACTATATGAGGGAAAGACAAGAAAGGACTGAAAATTTAGGAGATAACTTATGTGACATCTGAACTATCGAAATTCTTTAATGTTTGGCTGATTAGTTGCTTTCAGTTGTTCTTCTTCATCAATTAATCATATCACAGTATTCTTCAAAACTACCACTTTAATGAAAATCCAAAAGTCTAGTCCTTTAAGAAAACAATATTGGTAGGCTAATTAAAATAGTTAGTACCTGTAGTTCATGTAATTGGAGTTAGAAAAGTTGCTAGCAGAATCAATTCTCACAATAAGAATGCCAGGGATCTTTGTTGTTTCTTATATTGCAGTATCATTCTGTAAACAATAGTGTCAAGAGATAAAAGAAATTCATAGGCAATCAATTTATTTAAGCTGTGAGTTTAGACTTATATCTCAAGTTTTTATTTACCTATAGCCATATAGCCAGATGTCATTGAACTAACCATGTTCATTTGTTCTGAAGGCTACCATTTTTTTGTTTCAATCCAACTGGATTCAATGCTGCAAATATTCTTCAATGGTTATAGCTTCCTATAATAAAAAGTATGTTACTATATAAATTAAGTCATCTCTAAAAAGAATGTCTAGCCAAAAAAGTTAATAAACATAACTTACTCCTCAATGCTATCATACAGCTCACCAGACCTTTGCACTGGTGGAGGATTTATCTTGCGATGGATGTGCATCACCTTGACATTATAAACAAAATGCAAGGCACAACAAAAAAATTATTGACCAACAAAATAAGAATCATTAAAATTTGATTTCATGTTATTAAATTCAACTATCTAAAGCAACATTAAAGAGCAAGGCAGAAAAGCCCACACTCGTAGAGCCCTTATTGCACAAGGATAGAAACAACTTGTCTGTCAAAGGATAAGAGTGGTGGCCAGGTTGCTCCGGTAACTAATTCATAGATAAATTGCTCAAAAGTACTATTGAAATAGTTCTGGATAAACAAAGTCCAAACACATTTGTACATGTAAACAAAAATACAGATAACTCCAATCATCCTTAAAGATAAAAGATCTTCAAAATACTACCTAATACAAATACACAACCTCTCAGTAGTGATCCTTCTTTTCAAAAGCCCGCACTCATTTCCTCCACAACGACTCTTAAAAGGGTAAGACTTGCGATCGAACCTCGAAAACAGAGGAACCCACACAACAATTGAAGCAAAATATAACCCAGTACTTGTAATAATATATTGATCAAATTCTAAAGGCATATCGAGAATAATTTCGGGTACGAACTCTACATTAGAAAGTAAACAAAGACGATTTAGAGCAAAGAAGAGTATGATAAAGTACAGACCTTTATTGTTCGGATTGCGCCGAATTATTTTGTAGAGATGATGATGACGAGAGGGAATTGAGCCCTGCTATTATGAAAAAGGAAACTAAACCCTAATTTGTGAGTTGAAGAGAGGGAACTAATTGTGGGCTTGGGAAAAAAAGCGGGGGAAAGGAGAGGGAATTTTTCCCGATTCCATAAATTTGAGTCTAATATCCAAATTACCCCCTAATGTGTAGAGTAAAACCTATAAAGATGGTGGCTGATATCGTCTTTTAATATCTTTCTTTTCTCCATTTTTCTCTTTCATTCCTTTTTACTATTTAAATTTAAAAATTGGAAAATATAACTACATTACTAACAAATAATAAATTAAAATAGAACAAACTCACAACAACTCATAAAAATATTTCGTTTAATATTCAAAATGCTAACTATCCATAACTAGATAAAACGTAACAAAGTTGTAATATTACAAATATTATTTGTTTAAATTCAAAAGTCCTACTATACAAAAAATAAAAGACATTTGCATTCATCGCGTCCAACTTTAATCCTAAAAAAATAACAAAAATTGCTTCCGACTAAAGAGTCTAGAGTCGAATCCACCGACAAATGACGCTTACCTATAACTATTTAATATAACTAACAAAACATGTTCAAGTAATTTTCGAGTTATAAAAATTGTAATTTGTATTTAAGATATTGATTAACAAATGTTAAAGCAATAAAAATAAGTAACTAAGTAAATGAAGGTATTTTTCAATAAGTATCTAACGTGTTTCCTATCATTTTGCTGAACTATTCTTTATTGATCATGAATTCTCTCGTAACGTAATTATCTCTCGATCAAAAGCAGTATTTTTTACAATTATTCTCTCAAACTAACTCTAGCTAGCAATTCAAACGACTTACATCAAACGCGCCAAAGCTTCGTTATCTCTAACCTCTCTTTTAAGTCTGTGCGATTAATCTATCAAATATTACTCAGAGGTGACTTTGTTCAACAAAAACCTAATCTTTTAATCTTATTTAGTAAAAGACAAGATATAATAACGACATATTTAATTAAGAACTTTTTAATTAACTGTAATCAAAACATAGTGGAACAAATGGAGCTCGGAGAATGACTCAATTTATATTGAGGTTAGAAAATAGTCGTACCTTATATCAAATTGTTCATTTTGATCAACCTCCTTCATTTTTATGCAACCCTTTTTTTATACAAAATATAAGGTGAAATAAATAAATAAATTAGGAATTATTAACCGGTACAAATTATATTAAATTGCGGTGATTTATAAACCTCCACAAGTTAATACGATTTGCGGAGGTTATCACAAACACCCACAATAAAATTGCCACAAAAAGAACTATATTGTTGGGGTTGAAAGAAATGCCATAAAATGACCTTATAGTGGGGGGTCTTAGAACCCCCACAAATTAGCCGCCACAAATTGGCTTATTTTTTGTAGTGAAAGGGTAAAAATATCTTTTCATATTAATTTTAATAGAGTAGTGACTATTTTTGCTCAACATTAGAATTGCTGGATAAAAAATAAATACCACCTTAAATAGTGGCTACCCCACGCCATTTTTACATTTATTTCAAGGTCAATTTGTGAATTTAACCCAACTAAGATTTTCACTTTGGAGCATTCAGCCCAGCTACTCGGTCCAAGTGGACTCGTTTGACTGGGAGCATCATAGAAGTTTAAGTTTGAGCAGTACTAGTCGAGAAAATTGCATGGGGCGCCCAAAACTTATACCTATTTTTTTTTAAAGTTTTAACTTGTACTCACTTTTTAAACAATTTTAGCCTCATTTCTCCTCCTCCTCCTTCTTCTTCTTCTTCTTCTTCTTCTTCTTCTTCTTCTTCTTCTTCTTCTTCTTCTTCTTCCCTCTGCTGCTATGAAACTTTAGTTCATGGGATGATTGCCATAAGTATGTTTATCAGATTTTTTAAAAATAAATTATAAGTAATTACGTAAGTTAGTAGATAATAATTTGTGAATATTCCCACGTATGGAAAGTTTAAGGTCATACTTAGCGATTCTTTTCATGATAATTCTGTTCTTTTCTTTGTTTCCAAAATTTATGATTTAGATACTGTTGGCAATCTGATTATTTATCTAGTATGTTAGAAAGCTTTTTCAAAAACTTCAGCTTATATAGTGCTGAAGTTTTTACAAATGAACTAAATAACTTCAGCATCTTCTGCTGAAGTTTTTGAAAAAACTTTATGACAAAACTATTGAATCTAGGATAAAAACTTCACCTTATCAAGTGCTGAAATTTTTATAAATGAACTAAATAACTTCAGCATCTTCTGCTGAAGTTTTTGAAAAAGCTTAATGACAAAACTAATGAATCTGGGACAAAAAAACTTCAGCTTATTTAGTGCAATTACAAACAAAAACTTCAGCAAATAGAGAACAAAACTTCAGCTACTATGCTTAAGTTCAGCAATTACAAACAAAAATTTCAGCAAATAGAGAACAAAATTTCAGCTACTATGCTTAAGTTCAACAATTACAAACAAAAACTTTAGCACACTTGGTTCAGCAATTTTTGCTACTTCAGGCCTGTCTACTAGAATGCTGAAGTTTTGCGTGATTGTCTTTGCTATTTCAGCCCCGTATATTGAAGTTACACGAAAAAGTGGGTACACTTACAATTATTTTTTTTTGCAAAGTGAGCACAAATTAAAACGTGACCCAAAAAGCAGGTATAAATGCAAATGCCCCATACTAGTCTCTCAGCAAAGACCAAAAAGGAGGATCCATTGATTGGCCCAAGTTGAGACATCTGATACTTTTGCTGACTAACCATTAGAGTAAATGGAGTAACTATTCATTTTATGTGTCATTTTTTGATTGAGTACGGAATGTGAAAAAGAAATAAAATTATAAAATTTGTCATCTTAAATATACCATCACATTTATGTGGCTATAATAATATATTATTTTTTTAATAAACGAAGAAAGAAAGAGTACTATCACATAAAATAAAATGGAGGTAGTACCTACAATAATTATCCTTGTGCAGTGGCATAGACACCCTATACCAAGGATGGTCAAGGCACACCATTCGTCGAAAAGTTATACTGCATATATAAGTCAATTACTACTTTATATGACAATATATTATATTTTGAACACCCTTAACAGAGTTAAGTGAGACAATCCAACGGTTCAGGGTGTTCAAAGTGATGTGTTGTTCACGGGTTCAAAGTTCTGCCCATTTTATTTGTCAAAACTAAACGGCGACCACTATGTATGGTCTATTTGATTCTTTTTCAATCTGAAAAATTTCCTAATAAAATAACACTTAAAACTTAAAATTATGTAGACATAAACACTAATCTTAAAAGTTTTTTCCTAAATTTATAATTTGAAAGTCAAGCTCTACAAAACTTTATTCAACAAAAGCTCTCTAAAGACTACAAATCCTCTTGATTCTCTCTTTCCTTTAGTTTTATGCTTACTTTTATTAGTAAAATTTTTAATGTTGTCTTTTTGTTATTTTAATTTATAAAATTATCGTTCTATAAATTTTTTTTATTGTTTAGCTAAATGTTGTGTGGTTTGATTTAAAAATTTTGGTGCAATGTTTATCGACAAAAAAAAAATTATTGACTTATTTAAAGTTTGAACATCCTTGACGAATCCTTGACGAAATTCTTGGCTACGTCAGTGTCCTTGTGCACGGTAGATCTACGATATAGTCCTATCGAGATGAATCCATAATTTTAGAGTAATACAAACTCACAACTTTCATGAGTGTACAACATCTCAAAAAGCACTCGCTACTAGAAATCCGGAAAAAAACGACCAAAAGTTGGCGACCAAAATTGGTCTGTCAAGAAAAGCGACCAAAGTTGGTCGCTAAATTGGAGAAAATAATTAAATAATTATTCTAAATACATTAGCAACCAAGGTTGGTCGCTTTTTGGTCGATAATTTTGTCAAAATGTTGACCGGACTGGTCAGACTTGCTTGGTCAAAGAAATACTGAAATTAGCGACCAATTTTGGTCGCTAAAGGGGACCCACTTATAAAATTTTAATAATTATAATATTATTTAAAAAAATTATAAAATATAAATAAATATAATTTAAAATAAGCGACCAAAGTTGGTCGCTCATGAAAGGGGAAGCAGATAGAGAACAATTTTGGTCGCTAATATGGGACCCAGTTATAAAATTTTAATAATTATATTATTATTTTAAAAAAATTATAAAATATAAATAAATATAATTTAAAGTTAGCGACTAAAGTTGGTCGCTTACGAAAGGGGAAGCAGATAGAGACCAACTTTGGTCACTAATCTGGGACCTAGTTCTAACGTTTAATAATTATATTATTATTTTAAATATTATATTAAACATAAATAAATTTGATTTAAATTTAGCGACCAACTTTGGTCGCTAGTTTTAATTTCTGGATAATTGGCGACCAACTTTGGTCGCTAAATATAATTTCTGGAAAATTAGCGACCAAAGTTGGTCTCTTTTCAGGTCAACATTAGTCAAAATTAAAAATCACCTTTGTATTTACTATCTAAATAATATAAATGTAATCCATTAACACTTTTGTAATACAAGGGATGAACACACTAAAATATACTCTAACATGCTATATAAGTAGTTAAGTAGTACAAAGAAGCGTGCGTCTCTCTCTCTCTCTCTCTCCATATATATATATATATATAAGAACATGAAGCGCTCGGAACACAGGGCCGGATTCTTTTAGGTATTGATACACTTGTAAATTGATTCATCGACTTATAACCTACTCAGATTCATGTATATATATATAATTGATTCATATCAATTCAAAACGTCTCGACTTATATCAATTAATATGTTATAATTGATTCATCGACTTATAACCTAGTGATGACTGAATGTAATTCATTAACTATGTTACAATACAAATAATGAATACAATATCATGTACTATAACATGCTATATATGTAGTTAAAGTAGCACGAAGTGTGCGTGTTATATATACACACACTAACATATACTATAACAAGTTATATATACGTTATAGTATTACAGCAAAGTGTGTGTGTGTGTGTGTATATATATATATAACAACATGAAGCGCTCGGAACACAAGGCCGGATTCTTTTAGGTATTGATACACTTGTAAATTGATTCATCGACTTA